TTATATAATCGGAAATTAAAAAAAAATAATAAACGAAGTTACAACTACAAAATTAAAATATAATTAGGCCAGCCTGACTATTGTACATTTTGTCATACTGACACTTTGACAGCATGGCATCTTGACAGCTGGCAAATAATCTTCAAAAGACTAACTGCAAATATCGAAAGCGATTTACATGCGGAATTACAAAGATTTCAGCCGGAATTACATTTAATCGTAACAATATCAATGGATTAACTACAAGTTGATGAATCTCTTTGTAATAACTAATTAATTAAAATTATATTTCCAATCCATTAAGTTAAGTGCTTGAGAGCGTGTTATATATCTTTGGGCGTAGCGATCATTCAATTTCAATAAAATCTTGTGACTCTTTTTTTTCCTTTATGTTCCTCTTCGGGTTGGATCGTGTTAGCGTTAGTGGTGAATCATTATCATTTAATATTTTTTTCTCTTTCTTTTTATTTATATCGCTTCGAGATGCAGCAATTATTTTGCTTTTTTTTAATTATTTTAACTTCCTTTTTCAGGCTGTATGTAAAGGTTTTTTGTTTTATTTTTTAATACTTTATTTAGAAGATCTGGATCACTACGTAAGTAATTTTTGATTTATTTTTTTCACTAAATTAATTTTTATTATTTTTGTTATTTTTATTTGTTCAGGCAGGTTTAAAGTTGCCTGAAAAACTCTTGAGTTTCGACGGTTCATTGGCAAAACTACAATAAAACCTTATTGGCAAAGAATTATTAACAAATCCGTCTAAATGTAGGGTTTTGACATTTGCCATTTGTTAAATAAGTTTTCCAGGCGGTTAGCTGCATTAATTCTTTAGTTTGTTGACATACCGTGAGGTATGTATTTTCTTTAATTATTTTCATTTTAGTTTTCATTTTTTTTTTTACTTTTCGATTCGATCGTTTTGAGGCCGTAGATATAGCAACAATTATTATTCCACCAATCGTACTTGAGAACTGATTAATCCATTTAGGAAATTCAGCATATGGTTAGAGCTAAGGACCCAAGTAGCTCCAGCAACATCCAAAATTCGCCTGTAAAATGTACTTTTAATTACTATTAAATAAAGCTCCGCATAAGCCGGCTTGGCTTGGATTGCCACCGGCTCGAGCCGAGCCACTTTTTTTCTCGGATCGTGGAGATCAATTAACAAGCCAAGCCAAGCCAAGCCGGCTTGCAAGCCGGCTCGTTCAGCTTGCATTTATATTTAGAAATGAAAAACCGTCGAGAGAAACGTTTCTCATCAAGAGATGCGTTCCCGGAATGATTTCCTTTGAGAGGAACATTTCCGGAGCGTTTTCCATTAAGAAATTCGCTTCCAAAGCATTTTCTTTAAAAGAATTCGCTTCCGGAGTGATTTCCTTGAAGGATTTCGTTTCTGGAGCGATTTCCTTGAAGGATTCGCTTCCGGAGCGTTTTCCATAAAGGATTTCACTTCCGGAGCGTTTTCCATAAAGGATTTCGCTTCCAGAGCGTTTTCCATTAAGAAATTCGCTTCTGGAGCGATTTCCTTGAAGGATTTCGCTTCCGGAGCGTTTTCCATTAAGGAATTCGCTTCCGGAGCGTTTTCCTTGAAGGATTTCGCTTCCGGAGCGTTTTCCTTGAAGGATTTCGCTTCCGGAGCGTTTTCCTTGAAGGATTTCGCTTCCGGAGCGTTTTCCTTGAAGGATTTCGCTTCCGGAGCGTTTTCCTTGAAGGATTTCGCTTCCGGAGCGTTTTCCTTGAAGGATTTCGCTTCCGGAGCGTTTTCCTTGAAGGATTTCGCTTCCGGAGCGTT